ACGGAGCTTTCTTTCATTTGACGTGCATACTACAACAGATATTTTCACATTGTTCAATTTATAAACAATTCTTAATTTTTTCTACATGATCAAAGGCGGTAAGTAGTTTGTATTACAGTGTATTAATTTTTTTGCCATATTAGTCACATATCAAATTCATAACGATAAACGACGATAATTGTATTTTACTTAATACGGTATATTGGCTTTAATAACGATATAAATTTAAAGACACTATTTGAACGGCGATCTGATTGTTCGCCTAACGGAGCTTTTTCTTAGCTGCCGAACAAGAACTGCGGCCTTATTTTTTTTTAAATTAGTTGCGAATGAATTATAAAAATTAGTTGCGCAGATAAAGATTTAATCAAAATCTATAGGTAAATTTTGCAGAATCCGTATATGCAGTTCAGATTTCAGTTAAAATGTTGAGAACCGCAGGCTCCGCATCCCAATTTTAGACATTGCTAGGCCTGAAGTTAAAGTTGCATTTAAAGAAAAGTTACACTTAAAAAGGTTGCACCTTAGAGAGAGTTGACTGTATCATCTTACTTTTAAAGCCTGGCTTCGTCCGCTGCACTTGTTCGTCTTACTAACATTTATACAAACCTATTTTATTCTTCGTGCTTTTTTATGCTCCTCTTGATTCACAATACCATTCGATAAATCATGTCACGAGATTCGCATGCGACCGTAACTAGTTGTAGCCGGTTGATGTTTTTTTCATTACTTCTACGGATATCCATATTCAGTACGTACCGTACTGCGATCAGTTTACTATAATAATAAAAACCCAAATTTTTTTTTTTTTTTTTTTTAGTTAACATATGGGGTCTTTGCCTTGAAAATGACCTTACGGTATCATGTACCGTAAGACCATTTTCAAGGCAAAGACCCTATATATCAGATATTGCAAAAGTAACTTCTTTGCTACGTATATTACATTGATCGTTTGACGCAAAAATTCCTTACGTGTGATTAGTTAATTCTCATCTGTCATAGTTTGATTAGATCGTTTCACAACATTTCATATCAGGTATATATATCTGAATAAACAATGTATTTTACATACCACTCCTATTTTACCAGCTACATACGTACTCGTACTTAAAAATGATACCATTACCAAACGAATGTTTTTTTAAAATATTTAGTAGTCTTCAAACTGATAATAAAAGTTTATTTTCATGTCTTCTTGTAAATCGTCAGTGGTGTAGAATGATTGTACCAATCTTATGGATTGAACCAAATTTTAAAAATAGAAAAATTATAGAAATATTTCTTTCAATTTTAAATGATGAAGAAAAAAAATTATTAGGACCTTTTAGAATTATTTTTCCAAATTATTCAAAAAAATCTTTATTTGAATATACAAATTATATTACTTCTATTAATTTTTTTTTATATGATGGAATTAAAAATTGGCTTTTTCACAAAAGATATGAAAGAGGTTCTAATCTTGAATACGTCATGAAATGTTCTTTGGTCGCGATGTTATTAAGAACTTGCAAGAAACTTAAACATTTAAGTCTTGAAGGAACTATTTGTAATGAAGTAATATTTAGAAATCTTTGTAATAATACTACCGTTATCTCCATGAAGTATACTACTGAAGATGATCCTAAACTTAAGGCAATAGAAGTATTGGCGAAGTTCCTTTACAAGAATACTTTGATCTCTTTAGATCTTGGTGGAAATAATATCGACTCCGAAGAAGGAAAAATTTTATCTGATGCTCTTTATCAAAATACTTCTCTGACTTCTTTAAATTTAAGTTGTAATAAACTTGGTTCTGAGGGTGGAAAGGCGCTAGCAGAAGCAATTGCCAATAGTACAACTCTGACATTTTTAGATCTTGGTGATAATAAAATTGGTCAAGAAAGTGGAAAAACTTTAGCAAAAGCTCTTTGTAAAAATACTAGTTTAACTTCTCTATATCTTGATTATAATCGACTTGATTCTGAAAGTGGGAAAGTTTTAGCAGAAGCTCTTTATGAGAATTTTACATTGATTTTTTTGTATCTTAACGGTAATCAATTTGGTCCTGATGTTGGGAAAGCATTAGCAAATGCTCTTTGTAAAAATACTACCTTGACTTCTTTATACCTTAGTGGTAATCAACTTGGATCTGAGGGTGGAAAAGCGTTAGCGGAGGCCCTTTGTAAGAATTCCACTCTGACATATTTAGATATTAGTGGTAATCAAATCGGTTCTGAAGGTGGAAAAGCGATAGCAGAAGCTCTTTACACGAATACCGCATTGATTTGTTTACATATCAGTGATAATCAGCTTGGTCCTGATGAAGCAAAAATGTTAGCAGAAGCCCTTTACAAGAACACTAAACTGACTTTATTAAATCTTAATTATAATAAAATTGGTTATGAGGGTGGAAAAGCATTAGCAGAAGCTCTTCGTAAGAACACTACTCTGACTTCTTTGAGTCTTAATGATAATCAACTTAATTTTGATGAAAGAAAAGCATTAGCAGAAACTCTTTGCAAAACTACTAGTCTGACCTCTTTATATCTTAATAATCATGGTTGGAGTAGATAGAATTCGAATTCGAACAATAGAAATTTGTTCAACAACTAATTGTCAAATCAATACTGAAATTGTGAAATTGTGGAATTGACATATTTGTAACTATGATTTTTGTTTTACATAATAAGTGAATTTTAAAATAATTACAATAAATTCGTAAACTCAGATTGCTTATTTTATATATACTGATTAGTAAAAATCTTATCTCTTAAAGTATATATATATGTATATAATTAAATAAATAAACGTATAAATAAATACTTGAATAATTTGCAAGAAACAAACAAACAAACAAATGTTGAGTGTTAGCATTAAAAATACTATCATTACACCCGTTCTCACGTCAATATTTGACAGACCGCGACTCATCTTGCTAGATAATCATCGAGAGGGTCAATAATCACACGGGTGTAATGTTAAATCACCACATGAACATGTTACTATGATTATTTAGTATCGCGTCCCTGTGCCCCATGTAATAAAGGATATTAACCTGGTCATATGCGTGTACATTATGCTTCGTTTAGATTTTCTCAAAGATTTTTTTTTCAAAAAAATTTATTAACATTTTAACTTTCACAGATCATTCTACTGTAATGTTTTCTGGTATGATGTTATAAATTAAATCATTTTTTTTTTACAAATTAGAATAAATTCTAATAGAAATATTAAAGTTTTTTTTTTCAAAAAAAAAAAAAAGAAGTACAGATGAATGCGATGAATGAATGAATAAATGGAAGAATTTGCTTATTTACACAAAATGATTTGCTTATTTGAAATGGATTTAACTATCAATCAATCAAAATAAAAAAAAAGGACAAAAATATTTCTTGATATTAAAAAGGACTACGCATCATCGCCATATCGATTTTATGTTAATAGTGAATCATTTTTGTAGTTTGTGAAAGAAATATATACCAAAGCTGACAGCAATAATACTGATTGTTCCCTAATAATCGAAATTGACAGCAATTTAGATATATTACAGACATTACAGATATAAGAGTATAAATATTTACCGTGATATATAGTGATCTAAAATTATCCTTTTTTCTTTTCGATGTTTCAGCTACACTACGCGATCTTTCTTCGACATTTTCGGAATCGGTCCACTCAGAATCTTTAATAGTAGATTCTTGTTTGTGATGACGACGATATACAGCACTCTTTGAAGATTCAGCACCAAGACGTTTAGAAACTTCCTCTCTAACTAATTTATCAATTTCCGATTGATTCTCATTTTTCCAACGACAAAATTCCGCTTTTATTTTTGCATTTTCTAACTTTAAATTTTCATTTTCTACTCTAAGAAGTTCAATATCATTACCCTTTGTATCTTTTGTATCTTTCAAACAAGTTTCAAGAGTAGAAATTTTTTTAAGATAATCGGAATTAGTTAGAGATAAAATCTTATTTTCGCTTACAAGACGAGTGATTTCATTCTGAGTATCTACGAGCTGTTGTTTAACAGCATCCAGCGTATTACGAGTTTCTTCTTTAAAGTTTGAAAATTGATTTGATAAATCGGTACGTTCATCTTTAAGTTTATTGATTTGATCATCTTTTGAAGCAATGATAATCGCATGTTCCTCATTGAGTTTATCATTGAGTTTATCATTGAGTTTAGACACAAAATCTTCATGTCCTTCAACAGTTTGTTTATATTTTAACTTTAATTCACAAAGTTCTGAGACAATACTTTTATATTTTGTATCGAGCTCAATGTATGCATCAGATTGATCAAAATTAAGATTTTTTGAATTCATTTGAAGAGCTTCAATCTCGGCTTTGTATCTATTTTGAGCGCTTTCAAGGTCATTTTTTGTGTTATCTAATTGTGATACAAGTTCATTTATTTGATTGTTGAATTTATCTACATCAGAGGAATGTAAAATTTGAAGATTCTCAAGTTCACTACGAGCATCATGTAACTGAGTCATTGAATCATTTATTTTCTGGTTTAAATCAACAACTTCTGAACCATGTAAATGTTGTAATTCATCGAGCTTTTCACGAGAAGAATTTAATTGAGATATCATTTCAGCTATTTGACATTGTAATTTTTCTTCTTGATCAGAATGAAGAATTTGTTCACTTTGTAACTGATCTTGAGTATATTCAAGAAGTTGAGTTAATTCTTGTACATGTTGCTTTAAATCATCTACTTCAGAAGCAGAATTTTGAGATTTTAAAGTTTTTAAATTATCTTCAAGTTGACTAACTTTCTTTTCATATAATTGAAGTTTTTCATCATACTCGTTCTGTATAAAAGCAGCATGTTCGAGTTGCCTTGTAAAATCAGCTGTAATAGCAGTCTTTTCTGGTTCGCACTTTTCCAAATGAGCGTATAATTTTGCCTCAGCCTCTTCGATTTTGCGGAGAAGCGAGGATTTATCATCAAATAATGTCTTTAATAAACGTATAAATGTATAAATTAAATTAAATTAAATTAAATTAATAAAATGTTAAACTTTGGTAAAAGAAAAGTACAGCATATATAGATATAGATATATACTCTGTTGTTCTTGTTTTCAAATTTGTTACCCATATCATTTAGAATATTGCTTATTTCGGCCAAACGGCGATTTTCGTCACGCGCACAATGCAATTCAGACTAAAATAAATAATATAAAAAAAGGAGCAAACATATAAATAATAGTTTTCGCATTAAAAAATTTCAAGTTTAAAATTTTGTTACTGACTTCCAAAGACGCGTATATAGAGCCTTCAGAATCATCGAAAATGGAAAGTCGCCCAGGTCTACGTTTAAAACTAGACTATTAAATTTATAAAAGTACAATTAACTACAAAGTATTAATAAGTTTCAAGCAAATAATTATCAAAAAAAAACTTACACTATTTCTTTACAATAGATATGAAATCAAATTATACAATAAATACATAATTCTGTAATTTAAATTCAAGCATACATGTTCAAAGAATATTATAAAAAGATGACGTACTTAATCACATGCCCACTAGATGTCTCGCCATTCGGAGAATTAATGTATACCACAGCAGCCACTTTTCTAAACATAAGTCTATGATCTTGTTCATTGATTATATCAATACCAAATTCCTTTTAAACATTGAAAAACATTTAAAAAACATTTAAAAACATTTAAAAATTAGGAAATATATATATATCAAAATAGCTTTTAGATGATAAAAAAATTTTACCAGATTGTCATGATTCCTTAGTTCAACCGGATCACCTTCGTTGTTTTCAGCACCTATGCATCTTCCATTGACAAATGTACCATTACTAGACTTTAAATCTCTAATAAAAACCTAAATATAAATATATATGTTAAAACGATTATTTAAAACAATTATTTTAAAACATTTAAGCGAATCATTTTTTAGCATTCTAAAAAATTTTTAAAAAACTTACTCTGCCATTATCACACCAAACTTCAGCATGGGTTCTTGATAGTACCTTGCTATCAAAAAAACCATTGGATTCTAATTGGGTAAAATAAAAATAATAACTTTGTCAATAATTCAGTTAGAATAATAAAAAAAAAAATAAAAATTCTTAAAAAAAACATAATACCTAATGGAGTGGAATGCCTATTAGTCGTACGCCCTATCTTGACTGGTGCATTGCTAAGTTTTATTCTCTTTGTGTTAAAAGTATCATTTGCAGGTTCTAAAACCAGTGTTAAGGGCGACGCAGATGAAGACATGTTTTATTTTCTATTTTTTTTTTTTTGTTTCGAAAATATTTTCAAAATAGAAAGTTTTTTTTTTATATTTTTGTTGACATTTGAGAAATAAGGTTATGAAACATTTATCTAAAAAAAACAAATCTGTGTTAGGTGCATAATGGATATTATTATTATTGTAACAATTTATTAACAACCAAAAAAAAATATATATAATATATAAGTTATATATTTCGATCTTAAAATCAAGGATGTAACGAATTTATTTGTTGTAAATTTTTAACCTACAAAAGAAGATCGGGATTAATTATTTTTCGCACCACTGTGAAACGAAAATAAATACACAAATTCGAATACTTCATTGTGCAGCCCCGATGATCTTTAGCACATGAATAAAAATCATTCATTCATTCATTTATCAAATTTACTATATACTGTACAAAAATATAACTATAAAAATCAATAATTTAATAATAAATTTTAATAAAAAACTCTTCCAGAAAAAGCGAAAGTCCCTATAAATTGACATCCAAATTTACGTGATGGTTTAAATATAGCTATAGTTACAAATAAAGGATCATTTATTATAAGTTATATAGTAATGTAGTAAGAACCAAACCCCCTAACGCTACCCCTATATCTCTGAGTCTAAACAAAACCGTTTCCATTGTTATTTTCTAGCCTGCTTAGCATATATGGTCGGGTTACCCCCTACCAGTCAACATATTTGCATATGTTAATGTGTATAAAAAGGTTAGTTTCATTATAAATAATAAATGCTTAACAATTAGTCACTGAGCTTATTTATGAAATGTTTGTTTTTTTTTACAATGCTATAAAGGGGTTCCGTGATGCTTAAAACTTGTTTACGATAAATGTTATTATCAGTTATGCGATGTAGTACATACATACTTACGTGAAAAATTCATTCACCATCCATACTGTTGTAATTCATTATTAAGCCTGTTAAAGGTTTTTTTTCATTCTATAAATTCGTATGCACGAATGTAGTACCTAACGTAAATATATAATTTTAATCAATATGCCTTTTTATTAACCTTGCTATTATTAACTTTTTGTTTAAAAGAGACAAAAATGATCTACTGAATAATAAATAATCTTAGCTAAAACTAACACTATTACAGGTAACCAAAATACAAAACTAATTTGAAACTAATTTGAAACTGATTAAGTGTAAATTGAGAATAATGTCATAACATCATAGTATGTATTCGTTAATTTTGCTTACAGTTTTTATTGGCCGCAGAAACATCTGATTGGAGCCTGTGACCAATAAGAATTATGGAAAAGCAGAAAAATTAGTAAGCGCGTACATACATACATACGTATGTATGTATGTATAGGACACGAATTCTTTATCACCACACAGTTGGTTTTATGTATCCGGGTACACGAAGATCTTTTCATTGAGTCTGAAAATCAAGATACGTAGAATCAAAACAATTTAATTGAAGCCATCAATGAACAATTAACAGTTGCACGGACCTATAGGGGTAGTGCATACGTGACAAATAAACAATCTTAGTTATTAATGAATTTCATAATGACGCTATAGCTGATAGCTGATAGGAGCTTGAATACGTAAAAAATAAAAAATATTATATTATATGAGTGACACCAAGGGAAAATGGGAAAATGGGACATTGGTTTATCATTTATTATTAAATAATAATCAATTATAAACCAATGTCCCATTTTCCCATGGCGTCACGCATATAAAGAACACACCTTTTTAATAGTTTGTCATTCCCTTATCAAATAATGATTTTGACTCCTCATGCATAATTTTCGAACATGCATTCCGAATACTTCATACTATACTTATATCAGTTAACTTTTTGTTCGGCATTATTAAAGTTAATGCTATAGAGAAAAAATACATATTTGGTAATAAGTTTACATAATGGTTGATATTAAAAAAATTTTTTTTTTATATCGATATATGGGGTGGAGTCAATAGAAAAGGGACAAATTGTTTTTAGTGAATTTTTTTTAATTTTTAAATTAAAATATCTCAACAACTAATTAATCAAATTTGCTCAAAATTTTTTTGTTTTAATTTTGAAATTATAAAGAATTAAAATAAAAAAACAATTATTAAATTTGATAAGATAATTGCTGAGATATTTAAGTTTAAAGTCAAGAAAACTTTTACTTAGAAAAAATTTGTCCCTTTTCTATTGACTCCACCCCATATATATATACCATAATTTCTAGTATTTAGGCACCTTTGCCAAATCATATAATTAAATCCCGACAGGCTTGAATCCAATCAAATTAACCAGCTATCCGATTTTTCTTGATTTCGGAAAATATAATGATCGATCCATTCTGTTAGGTTTCTCATAAATTCTATGGAAATTTGTTAGGATACGATAAACTGTGCTGTTAATCGTATCCTTAAATACCAATAACGATAAAAGAGAATCATCGCTGACTAAGGGCGTTCTAAAGCACAATATTCAATGAATTTGATAAAGATTCCTTGGGCAAATACTAACGGCTAGTGTAACGTTTAATTTTTCCTGTGTGCGTACTATCATAGTCTTACTTTTAATAATATTAGGCATTGTTACGCATTTTGGGCCTTAATACAATTTTGAGGCTTAATACATGTACAACCACGTATACGCGAATACGCAGAAATTATTAAGAAATTAACTTGTATATATGTGCTTGCTCTCGTCCTTGGTTGAGCAACAACACACACTCTCTAAATTCCTCCCTAAAATAAAGATCACATAAATTCACATTCTTTTTATCATAAATGCCTAATAAATCATAAATATCTGAACACCATAATTTATTGTCAAGTTCATGTGACCTTTAACGTCAACTATCGGAGTTAAGCTCTCCCTTCCTTACGAGTCTCTACCACAAAAATCTCGAAAACAGAATCCGAAAGGGTATAATACCGACGAAGTTAGCCGGCATTGGCTATAATGCTGGCAGATTTGGAAAAATGGCTCTCGGGATTTTGTGGTAGATCCCTTACGTTACACTAACATGCCATAGATAATGTGGTTATCGCACTATTTTGATATCTGAGCCAACGATCATATTTTTTAATAATACCTACAGTTAACTGCATTAAAAAAGCCTTACACTGTCACGCAGTCATGTTGCCTTTTAATATTATTGGACTATGGAACATCTCACAAATAGACATTCACCATTCGAATTGTTAGTCATACCATCTCAATTTATTTGTGCCAAATGTTTATCGTTATTTAATAGAGTTTTTCTTTGCATAATGTAACTTCAATTCCTTAATTTTTTAAACCTATCAGACTATCTTTGAAATTAAAAGAGATATTATTCCTCAAATAAGTGACATTCAATTACATAAATTTTTTTTACTACCTATTTATTTGTTCATTCAATTCAGTTATTTACGCAACCAGTGAGAATGGCATATTCAATAACTTCGTTCATCGAGCTAATCATTTTATCGTAGCTCATAAAATTTGGGCGGACGTGCATTAATTAGGATCTTCTAGCACATACTTTTCTGTAATTAAAGATGGTATACAGTAATGTAAATATATGCTCAAGTTGAATTCTGTCAGCATGATAATGACGGGATAACTGAAGATTTCGAATACAGTAATTAGTCCATTACCATTAATAATTTATGTTCTGATAAAAAAATTTTCTTGATTTCATCCAAGTTATCCTGATACGTAAAATTATACTGGAATTTATTATCATTTTATTGAGATTGCTTTTTTTTTACTTCGTTTTATAGGCTCAAAATGCTCATAAGGTAAACGAAATCCATTAACAATTAAACACACTGGTCAAACAATCAAGATTCGGCCAGGCCGAATGTTACATTCAGCCTTAATTCAGCATATGAAATTAAAAATCGATCACCTTAATTCGACCCATGAAATTAAAATTCGACATATAATTTGGTCTACAAATTTATAGTCGAAATTAAAAATCGACCTTAATTTATGTTGTATGCGCGTATGTGCTATATACATATATACAACATAAATTAAGGTTGATTAGGCTGAATATAACATTTGGCCTGGTATTGTTCGACCAGTGACAACGATAATTATTGTTATTATTATTTTATAAAAAAAAAGGCCGAAATAAGCAAATGCGAGTTCTTAATGAAATTACGTGTGTTAGAAGGCTTAGGTTGGAAGGAGGGAAAAAATAACGGTTAATGCCAAATAAATATAAAATAAGATTTACAAAATTTATCAGGAAAAAGTCCCCTCCCTCAGAATAAAATTTCTTATAATCTTTAAAAAAGCTTTGGTTGTGGTCAAAGTAAATTTATTACAGCTATTATCATAATTCCTGAAACACCTGATAAAAATTAGCCGAATTATTTTTCGGCCGATTCGGTTAAGTTATATATCAGATACGTAATTTAATAAGATTAGATGACTAATATATTACAATAAGACTAAATATCGACATGCACTTGTAAGTTGTAAATTTCAATCCTACTCTTTGGTACAATCCATTTTCGCTCAAATGAAGCCTTTGTTCATTTCTAATTATTT